AAACAAATCGGTCGAAGCTCCGTTACAGGAGAAGAAAAAAAAGTAACCTGGAATGCGGCTTAGGAAAAGCACTAGAGATAAACAAAAAAGGAAATAAAACAAATGACGCCATGAGATCATTATATCTGGTTCAACTCTGCCTGAAATGAGCTATTGACGCCTGGATAACAAAGCAAACAGAAGAAACTTCTGACGACATGGCTTGTCATGATTTTTCGATTTGCTCTTCCTGAAATGAACTGGTCTGACTGGGATTATAAATTGATTGTAGCAATAACAGCGATTCAATAACATGATGATGGAAAGAAATTAAAGATTTACCTCCTCAAAGCTTCATGGAAAATATCGATCTCAGAGCAAGTCTCCCACCCCAAGCAACGTCCTATGTTTCAAGATGAAGAGGTTAAGTTCTACTCCAAGACACTCCAATAGAGTTTTCACTGCTCACCAAATTTTTACTTAGTCAAAACCCAGAGAGAGAGAGAGAGAGAGGATGAAGATGGACTGCATAGAAGTGTATTTACGCCGAAGAAAAAGTATTCCAGTCTCATTCCAATGACTAACTGCCGTTCAGACACGTAGGAGAAAAGCCTGCGACCAACTATTAGATTTTCTCTCGCAATCCATGTTGAAGCCTCAATAAATACAAGCTTTTTTCATATACTGATATACATAAACATATTCTGAAATGTGTTATTGATAAAAAAAAAACACATTTATTTTCGAGATCCAGAGAGAGAGAGAGAGATTGTCTGTTGAGGAGAAGACTCGCTAAGGGTGGGCAGTCACTGTTGTACTGCACGAATGGAGCAATGCATTTCATTAATGTCAGATGGTGAAGTTGTTGTGCATTGTATTTGTACTATTGTCTACTGTTCCCTGATTCAATAATAACTTACCTGGTCATCACCATTAATGACTTGTATTGAGCTCACCAACCATGACCCTTGATTTTTGAACGAAAATAAAGACAAAAAAAACAACAATTTTTTTTTTGTTCTCGTGGCATATTTTATTTTGTTGCTTCTTCATGGACAAAAGTTCATGTGTAAACTACGCATCCCGATATAAGACCACTCTCGGTCGAAGAAAATTCCATTCCATCTTCTGAAACAACAAAGAAAATATTGTTTGATTAGGTACTAAGATTAGCTGCACAATTACATCAATGACCCTACAGTACCGTATATCAACATTCAACAATGGCACTGGCACAAATTTCCCCGAGGGCCGAGGATGAGACTTGAGAGTGTTCCACTTCGACCTCGACCACTAAATTTGAAAATCGATCCTCGTAGTGGTCCTATACTACTATATATGGGGATGGCCGATGGGTGGGGAAATGGGAAGAGGTTCTCTTAAAAAGAAAAAAGGAAAAAAAAAAAAACTACATGGGCTATGTGGATGCTCCAATTCCATAATGGCAAAACGCCTCTGTATTGAATATTGATAGCCACATGGCAATGTAAGTCAGGCTATAAATACATACTAACCATCGAACAAAATATATAATATATGGCCGATGCCCCGCCCCGTTGCCATTCCTACGGCGGAACTTAGTCATAGGCATCTCTCAGGGTTCCATGATTTCCATCTAAGTTGGCCATATGTCACTCTCGGTCTCTTTTATTTCACTCTTTTTGGAAGACTCACCCACTCACCTTAATCATAATATGCACACAGTATGTCAGCATTCAATTGTATACATGTACGCGTATGTACGCATTCATACTTGTTCCACCCAACATTGTCATTTTACTCTCCAGGGGCCATCTCTTTTCTTTACAGCACCCAGCACAAGTCATTTTCATTAATTCCATCCTCACGGGTCACAGCCCCAACCCCGTTTTGTTGGGAGTCTTCTGCTTATATTTTAGTGCAATTATTAATTGCTAGCATGGTTTTTAAAACTGACCTGGTGACTGAATCGGTCAGGGTCCAGTTACCGGTTTGAACGGTCTGACCATTCAATCTGAATGATTGATCCGTTTTAACAAAAAAAATTTAAAAACAAAAAAAAATGATTAAAACCGTTCGAACGATTCAAATGATTAACCGGCCGATTCAGCGGTTTGCTGATCAAAATCAACGGTTTTGGGGGAAAAACCAGGAACCGGTTTTCCGGTCCGACTGTCTGATCTGATCCGATTTTGAAAACCATGATTGCTTGTCTTGCTTGCTAGTTTCTACATATAGCCCAACTATCTATGTTACTGATCTGAGTTTACATTGTGCTACTCCTCTATATTATCTCTTTAATTTAGTTTGAATAAATAGTTGAGGTCTCAACTGCAATTATTACTCTTTCGAGTTAATTAATTTGTTCAGATCAAACTTGACACCATGAAGCTAGTGACTCCATACCTGAAACAGATTGGGTGTCAAATTAAGTCGTAAGTCTCTTTTTATGCAACGTTCAATAATAACCTCAATTTATTTTCAACCTAGATCCTTAGAGTTTAATCTGGTCTTCTTGTATTAAGGCTTATAGCCGCATGCAATTTGCTACTTTCTTTTCTGAACCAAAACTCAATTACTGCTGAGTTTGAAGATTTACAACGTGTATAAGTGTATTGCGCAAAGGAAAAAACAAAGCATGGTTACGGATTATATTCCTTTTACCTTCAAAATTTTCTTTGTCGTGTTCAATGCCATGCCTGTATACAGAATTGAAATGTCCAGAGATAATTTGACCCAAAACTGAACTATGTGCAGACAGGAATTATGCAATGAAAATGATCGTACATGGTGTCTGTTATTCCTTCTCTCTCTCCAGTGCATGATAATCATAATCATACATACCCTCTCCTCCTTGAAGCTCCCTGGTTGTTTGTAATTGATAAATAATCAATGCCCAAAATTATGTGTTATTTTATTTTGTGAGCAGATGAAATGTTCGAGAATGCTTATCATCGTCACCAACATCAACCCTTGGTTTCTAGTCCATTAGTACAGTGGTATGACAATGGTTTTTGTGTGCTTTCAGGCAAGGATCAAAATTTTGTTATATATCGGCAGATATATATCGCATCGGAGCCTTTCCGTTATACTCCTACAAGAAGCGTTTCAGGTCAACGAGTGGTTCAGGGGGTAGACTGGCCTTAAACTGGTCCCTCTGAACCAGTTTCAAAAAAGATAAAAAAGCAGCACTGATACAGGCCTACCGGTGTATCGCCTTGTATTTTTATCCTTACTTTCAAGTATTACGATTGACAGATACTAAGGATAGTAGCATCAGCCTGTGCCCTCCATTGGACTAGAGCAAACTGGCTGTAGTTGGTCGTAACTTGTCAAGAGCAGCCCCACATTACGTCTCCTAGATTCATCTCTACTCTCTAGGATTGGTATGGTCCTTCTAGGAGACCTAAATATCTGTGCTTGCACTAGTAGGGATTCTAGATCTGGGGCGAACCCTGATTTCATTTTAGTATTATTGTTTGTTGCTCTATTATTAGATAAAGAAATATAAATTTGGTGTTTTTCGGGAAAGATCAAAGATGAAGTGGGACCTTTGTACCGAATGTAACCCGTGATGTGTTGTGTGTTGTAGAAAAATTAAAACATGGGGACCCAACTAAACTTTTTTATGTACTTCAGGGAAATGATTACTGCTGGCAATCATCCAATTACCTTTTTGTTTGTTTCGTTTCCGGGCACATGGGTGGGTGAGGACTGAGGAGTTCAACTACAAAGGCAATGATAGTAATGCTAGCACTAAACAGCAACAACAGCAGGAATTTTCAGTTTCTAGGGTGGCATTCGGTTCATCAGTAGGTTTATGGTAAGCCACTTACCAAAAAGCAATTAATCACATAAGTTGCTAATTGTTCAGTTTTAATAATGTTTTTACTTATCAAAGCCATTTTATAGATGGGAAATGCGACGTACTTTTCAACTGGTCAGTCAATATCAGTAGAAAAGTAGCCAACCAAACTCCCCCTAAATGGAATGGTGTTTTTGAGATACTTTTATCTTCCAACTTTCCAAGTCCCATCCTGAGATACAACATAGAAATAGACCCAATACAAGAGTTTTCAAGAACTTGTAATGCTAAACGCTGTGATCGGATTGGCTGCCCACAGCGCGCCCCACAACCCATCCCCTGTGCGTTGGGAACATCTTCCGTTCTTGTCATGGAGAGATATTCCCAATGCATCGAGGGGATGGGCTATGGGGCGCTCTATATGTGAGCAGGCGATCCCGTCTCCTAAACGCTAAGCCAGGACGGCAGGACCATTTCCTAGCATCTAAAGTCTAAACTAAACCATCAAGATCATTCTTGGGAATTTACACTAAACATGGATCCCTAGGCATATTTTAGTTAACTAAGATGCCGAAGACCAACTTGCAAGGGACCAGCTAACAGGCTATTTGGTATGACAATTTTTTTTTTTTTAATTTGCTACATCATCCATTTAGCATGCATAACTGCAAATGTAACAGTATGCCTAAAGTAAATTCACACTAGAGGACGATTAAAGAAACACCCTCTGAACATTTCCACCAGAACCCATCTCATATGACGTTGAAAGTGAAAGTAGAACACATTCAGCCACCACATCAACATTTTCTACTAAACAGATTGCATAGACCATGGTTTTAAAACAGTTGTTGACGCAGGCAACCGTTTGACCCGAGAACTGGTCACTTATTCAGTTCTGCTTTTCACCTGACCCAGATTGTTTTCCAAAAACCGTTGAAATGTCAATGAACTGCTGAACGGGATGGTTGAACCACCAAAAATATTTTCTTACTAGAAATAAACAAAGATACCTTTCCATCACCTTTATTCCCCCCTTCAACCATGTAGCAACAAAAAATTAACATTCATCATTTCATTGCTAGTAGATGTATCTGTGTGGTTCTTCCTCCTTGGGCACAGGTTGGTATAAGTTAACCAATGTTAGGGTCATAGGGACCTAATAACCTATAGTTTAACAACATAAACTGATCAAAAAATGGGAATTGGGTAATCTTGAAGAAAACCGCTACCCTAATAATTAATAATAGATAAAATCAACAATGCATAATATTGTGTCTATGTATGAGAAATGACAGAATTTGGGTCACTAGGTGTAGCACTGTAGCCTACAATAGCTCAATTGGATCCCTGATAGGGTCCACCATGCAAACTGGCTCCTGTCCTAACTGTTGTTACCTGCTTGCAGTAGTGGTAGGAGCCCTTGGTAAGGTACAACATCAATGTTGGACGGATGAAGAGACTTGAAATCCCTTCTACTCGCTTTCTATGAAAAGTTTCACACATTGGATCTTGCTGCTGATCGCATCAAAAACTTGCCATTTGCTTCTGGATCTTGGAATTATAAGAGGTCTTACCACCCTTGTCCTTATAGGAATTTCTAGAGGCAAGAGAACGGCGACCGCCACGAGCTGCTAAAATTGCCCGCCGCCTCTGTTTGCTAAGACGCTTGATCAATGTAGCATCATCTTCACCTTGATTCCGATTATCATCCTCCTGAAACATAGGAACTTCACTCCATGGATTTTGAGATAGTAATAGCATTTAAAATGAGCTTTATTCATGCAATCAGGAATGAACTCAAGAATAACTGGTAAATAATTTAACAAAAAATCGGTAGCAGAGTAATTTATCAACAAAAAGCCCTTTCTTTAAGGACAAAATGTAACAAGAGAGAGAAGTGAATACTCAAGAAATAGATACACGTGGGAAAAATGTTACATAATTGGTTGAAGTAGAGAGCTTTCCCTACACGAACCAACCTAATGACCAAACAAAATCAAGTAGACACAATGGATTGGCTGCAGTTCAATCCCATACCACATTTCAACTTTTAAATATAACACTTATCAGATGCTTGGTCTTGGAATGTGACTCGAAGGTGGTGATTAGCTGGCTGAAGGAAGAGGACAGTGGCTTGTGGAGATATAACAATGAAAAGAAAAAATTCTGTTGGGAGGGCAGAGACATTGAGATACACTATAGCTGGGTGAAGAGGTCTGCTAACTCACTTGCAGATGGGCTGGCCAAGCAGGGGGTGAATAGGGAGGAGGCTATTTTCTGGGCTAATTTTTGAACTTCTGTTTTTGTATTCTGTTGTAGGGGAGTTGAGTCTTTTTACCTCCCCTGTTGTATCTAAATCTTCTTAAATTTTCACATCATTAATAAAGTATTACTGTTATTGATAAAAAAAATAAATAAAAGAGGCTTATTTTGCACATACAGCAAAGTGCTTCCGGCCAAGATTTTTTTCCATGAATAAAAGGTGAATCAGAGGAACTTGGAGACTACTTTTTCTTTTTTGATAAGTGAGTAATTTTATTAATTCCATGAATATGAGGAGTTACCTCCCCCAAGGACTGAACCATAAGCACTAAACAAACACAAGCCTATAACACAATTACAAGGTAGCCCGAAACAAATCTTCCCTTGATACCCCTTGCTTGGCCAGAGAATCAGCCATTGTATTTGCTAATCTGCTAACCCACTGAACCCTGACTGTCATATTTATTGTCAGTCATTTAACTTTAACAGATCCCTGTAGCCCCAACAAACTGTTTCTGGACTTGTCAGCCAGCCCACTACTACCTTGGAATCCCCTTCTACTATCAAATTGTTCACTCCAAGTTGATTGGCCAGCTGTATACCTTGTACCGCTGCTACTACCTTGCTAATCTTTGTTCTTTGTGGAGACTCTAGAAGCCACTGCTGCCCAATTTCTCCTTAAGTCATCAAAGGAGTAATCTGCCAACAAGTGTGAAAATTTCAACCACAAGGTAGTGACTCTAGAAGCCACTGCTGTCCTTGTCATTATGCACTCCTTGACTTCAGCAAGGCTTCTTTCCTTTTCTTAAAATATTCTAGCATTTTTCTCCTCCCATAACGTCCACAAGGTAGCGGCTCTGATACGTTTCCACATTAGCTTCCCTCTTTTTGTCATTCTCCCAAAGGCAGACGAAGTGAACAGAAGCTTTACTTCGGAGGGCAAGTTCCACCTGCACCCAAATAATGATACCAGTGTTTTAAAAGCGCAAGGTGCAAAAAAGGCGTAGGGCTCAATTTGCACCTTGAGGCACAAGGTACAAGGCGAGGCGCACGCCTTTTTTGAAGCAAGGCACAAAAATACAAAAAAAATGCCAAAAAATAAAAAATTCAAAAAAAGCCAAAAACTTTTTGAAAAATATTAAGCATAATATTAATAAAAAATATAAACTTAAATTTTAAAGTAAATGTTTTAAAAAACCTATTATCTAAAATTAAAATACATAAACATAAGATGTAAAGCATATTCAAATGAGAAGTGAAGGAGCCAACCAATGTTAGAGACCAAACCCTTGTATCCGGGTTAGGGGGGTCCAAACACACAGAGTCAACAAGCAACAAGAGCTCTAAAACACAAGAAAATTCATCATCCCTTAACCCTCTTCAGAACCCAAAATCCCAGTTTAAGCCAAAGGGAGAACCAGGGAGAAGGAACCATGAAATCAGTTTCTTTTTAAACAGTCTTTTAGGGGTTGAGTGCTCACCCAAATATCTTCCCAAAAAAGAACAGAGTTTCCAAAACAAACATCATACCTTACAAACCTGAGGAATTTGGGGAGAATGCTAGAAATAACCTTTCATGATATTGTGAGCAAAGCCCTTCGGGATTCTCTCTCTCTCTCTCTCCAGGGGCCACCTCCAAAGCTACTTACCTAAAAGAGCTTCATTCTTACTCACTACAATCCCTAATCCTAGGCCTCCTTTTTTTGCTTCGACTCACCACCACCCACCTAATCAAGTGGTCTTTTTTCTCTTCCCCAGGTTCCCATAAGAAGCCCATCATCATTTTCTCCAATTTCTTTGCCTCCCTTTTAGGAATTCTAAAGATTGACAAGAAGTATATTGGCAAGTAATCTAGAGTTGCCTTTATCAAAGTAACTTTTACCCCCAAGGAAATATAGTTTCTCATACAAGTTGCCAATATCTTTTTTGAATTTTTCCACCATCGGGTTCCAGAACTGTTAGGAACTGCCTAACTCAGGGACTCTTTCGAGGAAGCCTGCCTCCTGAATGAAAGAGAGAGAGAGAGATTGTATTCCCAAATCGATAGTCCCTTCCTAGCTTCCTTTCCTTATTTATATACTGCTGTTACAATTCTATTATACCAGCCTCTCCACTTGTCCAGTTTACATTCTCTAAAGGCTGGCGTGGTCTTTTCTTGTACACTTGTATTCCCTTTATTTGTGTCTCAACAGTCCCTCCTCCCTTGAAAGCGACCTTGCCCTCAAGGTCAAGATGTGGAAATCTATTYTRTAARTYSAAGTAAGGTTCCCAAGTTGCATCCTCAATTGGGAGACCTGACCATACCACCAATGCCTTTGGTTCGATGTGATTCCCTTTGCATATCCACCTGAAATCTGTTATCTGGGTGGGCTCAGTTTGAACTTGGCCATCTTCCGAGTTTGATGGGAGGGTGGTTGTTGTTATTACTCCCGTTTTTGGCCATTTCTTCAATAGGGATACATGGAACACCGGGTGCAAATTTGATGTTGTTGGGAGGTCAAGCCTGTATGCCACTGACCCAATGCGTCCCACAATCCGAAATGGGCCGAAGTACCTAGGGCTCAGTTTGTTCCACCTGTGGCCTACTACTGAAACTTGCTTGTATGGTTGTAAATTAAGGAAGACTTGCTCCCCAATCTGGTGCTGGACAGGCCTATGCCTTCTGTTGTAGGAGTCTGCCATCCATTGTTGGGCTCGATGGAGGTGGGATTTGAGATCTTGTAACACTCTATCTCGTTGGAGGAGTTGGTCTTCTACTGCTGCTACTAATGTAGACCCTTTCTCATATGGGAGTAGGGGAGGTCGGTCCCGTTCATATAGAGCCTGGAAGGGAGTCATTCTTGCTGCACTCTGATACATGGTATTGTACCACCATTCTGCCCAATGAAGCCACTTGAGCCACTGACGTGGCCTATCCCCTGCATAGCACCTTAGATATGTTTCCAAACTCCGGTTGACCACCTCAGTCTGCCCATCTGTTTGAGGGTGGTAGCTGGTAGATTTGAAGAGTTTCACTCCCTGTAGTCGAAAAAGTTCTGCCCAGAAACGACTCATAAAAATAGGGTCGCGGTYTGAGACAATAGAGTTAGGGGTACCATGCAGTCGTGCCACCTCCTTAGTAAAAATCTCAGCCACCATTGAGGCTGTAAAGGGGTGGGACAGAGGGAGAAAATGGCAGTATTTGGTAAATCTATCAACCACTACGAGAATGACGGACTTGCCATAGAAAAGGGGAAGCCCTGTTATGAAGTCCTTGGATATATCTGCCCACACTTGTGTAGGAATTGGGAGTGGTTGTAGCGGTCTTGCTGGAGACTGGGTATCCGCCTTATTTTTTTGGAAAATGACGCATTCGACTATGAATTTTTGGATCGAATTTCGCATGCCTTTCCAGTGGAATTGGGTGGCTAGTCTCTTGTAAGTACGTAGGATCCCTGAGTGTCTTCTTGCTTGTGATGAGTGGAACACTTCCAGAAGCTGCTGAATATGGGCTGAATCCTGTGGTATCACCATTCGGCRTTTATACAACAGCAAGTTATTCTCCATTGTGTACCCTGGGTGGCTAGTAGGGTCCTCTTGGACCTGTGAACGCAGCTTGCTCAGTTGTGGGTGCCTTTCAGCTTCTTCCCTTAGCTGACCCATGATAGAACATGTTGGGCCCGTGAGAAGTAATGGAAATAGTTGTGGCAGGCGTGACAGTGCATCCGCCATCTAGTTAGTGTGCCCTTCCTTGTATTTAAAGACATAATCGTAGCCGAGTAATTTGGCTATCTATCGCTGCTGTTCCGGGGATAGTACGGATTGCTCCAACAGAAATTTCAAGCTCTGGTGGTCAGTTCGTWTGATGAACCTCCTTCCTAGAAGGTAGGGCCACCACCTTTGAACTGCGAGAACAATTGCAATTAGTTTGCGTCCGTATACTAACTTGGCCCATTTCTGTGCTGTCATTGCTTTGCTGAAAAATGCTAGTGGCCTTTCTTCTTGCATGAGGACTGCACTAACTCCTTGGCTTGACGCATCACATTCAATGATGAAGTCCTTTGAGAAGTCTGGAAGTGCAAGCGTCATTGGGGATGAGACAGTTGTTTTGAGTGTCTCGAAGGCCTGTTGCGCCTCCCTAGTCCAGCAGAACTCATTCTTCTTAAGTAAACTTGTCAAGGGGGCAGCAATCAGTCCATACTCTCTGATGAATCGCCGACAGTACCCTGTTAAACCCAAGAAGCCTCGTAGCTCCTTAACATTTTGAGGTCGGGACCAATTTATCATGCTTGAGATATTTTCCGGTCTGTTGCTACAATGCCATTTTCGACCACGTGCCCTAAGTAGTGTACTAGTGTCTGACCAAATGCGCACTTTGACTCCTTTGTAAGGAGTTTGAGTCCTTAGCAATTCCAAGGTGATTTGTAGATGTACTAGTAGTTCCAAGGTCCACCCAAACGGCATGACCAAAA